TGCAGGGAGTGGAGAGTTATGTGGGATTTAAAAGCAATGGTGGCCTGTAAGAGGAGGGGGGGTTGTGTGTCCGCCTTCTTCATGACCTAGCTGTGAAGTCATGGGGGAGGAGGTAAATATATAAGGAAATGGGGGAGCTGGGTTCAGCTTGTGGAAACTTGCAAGGCAATCAACAGAGAGAAACAGGCTAGAGGCTGAACAGGCAGCAAGAAAAAGATGTGTCTTGTGTGACTGGTGACTAAGCTTGACGACAAGCATAACATTTAGGGTGAGCCTGTGGTGGACCTGGAGTCACGGAGAGCTCTCATCTGTGAAGGACAAGTGGGAGGCTGTGGTGGCTTTGTCTGCAGAAGACATGCAAGCTCAGGTTGTGGGAGACTACATGGGGCTGGGTACATAGATGGAGTGGTTGTGGTGTTGGGGATTCAGCCTGGAAAAGCCTGGCTAGAGAGAGATGTGCTTGTGTGGCTCAGAGAACCAGAAGGAGTTGGCGTTGATATTTGCTGTCATGTAGCTGAGTTAGAGGCTCAGCTACCTGAAGACATTAGGGTGGAACTGGCAGTCTGGCCTGGTGGAAATTGAGGAACTGACAATTTAGCTGTAGGTATGAGGGACTTGAGGTATTGCTGTTGCTCGCACTGAGAGTGGGATTCCAGCATCAGCTACAAGCGATTGAAGAGTATGAGTGTGTGCTCTTGTATTTAGGTTTGATTGCACACCCACTGGAAAACAATGTACAAATGAAATGGGCCAACCATGCAATGGACTGTTTAGGGAGCACGTTATTATGATTTCTTGTTTGTGTTAAAAAAAAAAAAAAATGCCTGCAACTTTCTCTGTGACTTGATAGGGTGAAGGTTGGTGGTCACATATCAGATTTGTTGTCACACTGTCACTACTCTGTTCAGTTGTGGGAGTGCTGATGGAGTTACAATGACAGTATATTTTTATCAATTGACAACTTGTTTTCCATGAATAAACATGGTTTCTTGAGCCCAGCAGTAGCCTCATGCATCGTGATATTCCAAGGAATGAGGCTTTTCCTGACAACCATTTCTATTTTACATGTTTTTGCAAGTAGGCAGTATTGCCTCTTATCTTGGAAAAATTTAAATACCTGGAAATGCATATGGCATAAAAGCAAATAATAGCGGATGCTTTCAATAAAGGGAGGTGGGGATAGGAAATTTGGGAGATTTGGTAATGTTGGTTTAATAGCTTTGGAAAACCGAATTTCTCTCTATAATTGCTGAATAGATATAGCATAGCAAGGCAGATGCACTGTTGCTTGCCGTAGGGGAGCTGTACAGCATTGCAAGATGTTCAGTTTCTCCAGTGCCTTTGATGACTGTCTCTGGTGTTGCCTTGAACATTGGCTGTGGCAGTACAAGGTTTATAACGTGTGTGGTCACCTTATTGGGAGTCTTGAGAGGCACGTGGCAGTGGATTAATCTTAAATGGTTGATGCTGGTACTGTCCCCAGTCTTTACTCTGAGACAAGGATGTTGGACCTGTTTATGAATCAGCTCCTGAGTCACTGCAGTTTTCAGTCCAGCTGATTAAGGTAACCTGATCTGGCTTTGGTTTATTCTAATACACTAGGCGGCAAACCTTCACAAGAGAGTGGTCCTGCTAGCTGGGGGAAGTAACAGCAACAGCTTTGACTAATTTTTTCATCCTAGTACTAGGTATCTATCCACAACAGTGCCAATACTGGAGGCAAACTTCAAAAGCCAAATGTTGTTTAGGCAAACCTGGTTTTATTTCCTATAGCCATGTCTTGACACACAAATTAACTATATGTCAGTTGAGAAAGCAATCACCTGTGCTGAAGTTCATTGTTTCCTGTAGTGGTATGAGTTGAACGTACTCTCCTCTGAGTCCTGCAGATTGCTGTTGCAGTTGTGCTGAGACAGCTGTTTGGGCTGGGCTGTGATCCGGGCTTGGACTTTTGATCTACCTTGGTGCTTTTTTGGAAAGAGGGGACGCGGTGCTTTAGTTTCAAGAGTTTATTCAGCTTCCTCACCTGGTTCATGGGACATCCCCACAATGTGTTGTGACAGCTAGAGATAGCAGGCTGCAGCTTACAGGTGAGAACAAAAGTGCTCTCAGTGTTTGTAGAGAGAGGTGGCTAAGGGAAGTTAGAGTACTAAGTGAACATATTCTTGAATTGGTGTGAGACTGATGAGTGATAATTGCTTACAAGTGGTAAAGTGGATCAACAAGATCACAAGTGAGCCTGTGATCCAGCCTTTCCAGTGTGCCAAGTACCAGTTGGGTGCTGGATAGTGGGTATTGGTTGGATTTGAAGTTGCTGTCCACAGGGGGAAGCTTGTAGGCTGTTGCTAATTTTCTCCACCATATGGTAATTGATTACATTAAGTTTTTGAGATGGTACTACCAAAATAAAATTTTAGTTAAGGCAAGAATTTGTATAGGTTAATTGAAATTTTTTGATAATTTGACTTTATTATATGAAGACAGCTGCGAAACCCTAAACGCATTTATCTGTAAACAGCACAGAAATCACGTAATTGAGTTAATTGGCCAACCTTAGAAGGCTGAGGAAAGTAAAGGGGTATAAATAAAAGATAGTGGAGCCGAATTTTGTGCCCTGTGCTTTTGTTTTTCACTTTAGTATAATGTCAGTTAGTTATGTGGGAATAAAAATCTTTAAGTTCAGCTAAATGAAACTGTACCTTTAAGGAAGACACTATAGTTTACACCCTTCCCTGAATTGTATTGAGTCCTATTTTTAGTGACTTCTAGGAGGCAAGAATTAAAGTTCAGTGACTGCCAACACAGCATGCATAATATGGTGCCCAGTCCTTTATGATTTTTAAGTGTTTTCTGTAGTCAAGTAATTTAATAGTTAAAGCTCCGGGTTATTTGAAAGTTCTTGAAACTTCTTAAAGAAAGTCCTCAGGCTTTCCTCTGTTACTCATCATGTGATGATCAGATGAGAATGACCAACTTCCTTTGAAACCTTTTGCATTTATCCTCATTTATATTTCTTAGAATGTATTGTACAAAATGTATTTCATCGCAGTATGACTATACACTATTTCAGAATTTATCTTCCCTACATATCAAGAGGAGGTTCCTTATATAGTGATAACCTGCTCTAATTTAAATAAATATTGTTACTTCATTATCTTAGTAATTGCAGTTATAACTGGGGCAGGTCCCTGGGATCTTTTGTGAAGGTAACCTCTAAGATAGTCTTTACAGGCTGAAAGTTAATGCACAGTGAGGGGGTAGTTCTTTTTGTTATAGCAATCTGTGTGGTGTTTGTTTTTTCTAGTCAAGTTTTACTTACTTTTGGTGCTCCCAAAGTGTTGCCAGTTTGTTTTCTTATCAAGTCTTTTAAAATTAAGAGCCAACATAGTTATTTTTATAGTTCTATTGAAAGGGCCAAGCTTGCTCTCTTTTTGTTTATTGCCTTTAATAAAGCCACATGCAGTTTCTGATGAAGAACAGCCAATGGTATCTGTTTCAGGTATGACCGTCTAACAGCTGTAAACAAAGGTTTTTCCTGTGAATGATAAACTTTGCAATGTCTTTTCAGGTACGTGGTTTGTGTACTTAAGTTTGTAAGCTACAGAGTCATCACAAATTGTAATGGGACATACAGGGTTGTAACAGGATGCTCTGCTGCTTAGATAAGCACATGGTGTAAGATGAACAGTTTCAGGGGAGTTGTTTCTGTTTCAGGTGGAGCATAGTTTTATCCAATATATAAGGTAAGATGAATTTCTAATGTGGTCTCAAAAGAATGTTGAAGCATTAGAGATGTTCAGGTCTTTTGTAAACTTTGAAGAGAACAATTAAAATGAAGATTAATTGTGTAAAGAAAAATCAATTTTTTTATCAGTTCTCTTGACCTTGATTTACTAAGTGCATGCTTGTGTACTACATCCCTGCAGAAAAGTTGGGTGTTCTTAGGCCCCCTCCAGAATTTTATAGTTGTTTTCAAACACAGCTTTTACAGTGACACCAGGTCCTGAAAACGTATCTAGGGATGATTAACTAGTAAAATTGTTTTATGTCCAGCAGTTATAAATTTAAGGAATCCTACTCTAGGTTTTTGTTTACCCTACAAAACTACTGGCCAAACAGCTCTATTAAAAATCTCTGGATGCTGTTTTGTAGTTAGCATAGTTGAAGCTAGGCAATGTCAGGGCCTGGAAAGAAAGTGAAGATCCTAAGTGATAGAAATGAATTCACTCTGGGAAATATTCTCTATTTCTGGAAGAGAATTTCAGAAACATTGTTTTCCCTTATGTATGAGCGTCGAAATGTTAAAACTTATAATTTAGTCCTTTCACTTGAATTGCTGGTACTCTTCTGAAATTCATTACCCAAATAAATGTAATACCTGCTAGTATAAAATCAATATTTTTTGTTCAAAACTTTTTGCAGTTCTGAACAGTCAAATCTGAAACCTTGGGGCAGTACCAAGAAGCTATTTGCTTTCATCTGGCCCTCGGATTTTTTAGTGTTAGTGTAAGTGTTGTCACTTTATAATTGCAGCACTAGGATTTTCAGTGCTTTCATGTTGGTAGGGGTGAACTAATTCTAATTATGGCAGAAAGGTTTTTACAGATCATCTGTGGAGCGTGCACTGCGGTGTTACATTACTCATATACCTGGTCCTAGAAGGAACAAACAGCCTGAGCAATCAGTAGGTTGGCTGCATAACAGAAAAAAGTTACAGTATATCACGAGTGGTAGTTTTAGCAGCATTACTGCTTGGTTCCTTGTTATCTTTAAGTGTCAAAGCAGAAGCTCAATTTTATGCTTTTGCATCTTAAACACAAGTTTTTGCATTAAATCTCAGTCAGAAGACAACACGTGCATTTCAGAATTTACTTTAATGTTCGTTGTGGTGGATGCACTTCAGTGCCATGCACCTCTTTTTCTGCTGCTATGTTCATCTTAATAAAATTTTGTATGGAGTGAGAGGCTGGGGGAACTGCAAACATATACCTGAAATGCTCATTCTTTTCAAAAAGAGCTGCGAAGGCAAGTATGCCTTTGTGGGAGTCCTGTTGTAGGAGACAAGAGAAGGGTCCTTTTTGACTTTATAATCTGTGTATTCTGCTTGTCTTTCATCTACAGGAGTGTCTACAAAAGGAAATTTAAGAACAAGGTATTTGCCAAAATATCAGAAAAGTAAAACTGAGCTAAAAGTGCCTGTAGCTGTTGGTTCTGTTTCCATGGATCCTGTCAGAAGCACAGGAGATCTGACAGGGCAACAGGTCAGTACAGGCAAATTTTTCTTGCTCTTAAGAGTGCACATAGGAGAAAAATGGCAGAAAATCTTTAGATTGAAAACATTTAAACAGTTTTAGAGTACTATTATTTTTGCATTCTCTTACACCTTTTGCCCGCTTACATGGCGGCTTGCTGGCAAAAGTTACTTTTCCACTGAGATGGCTTGTCCACCTAATGAGAGCAAAGGACGCATGTGCTAATTTATGTAAGTAACCAGGGCTATGTAAAACAGATTGTATATATTTCTGTGTGTGTATGTGTACAGAGAGAAAGTGAGTGTAGCTTTGAGCAGCCCCTAATCTATACGTTACTAGCCAGTCATGCAAGAAGTTGTATTTCAGTCTATTCAGTTTCATTGCTTTTGTCACATCACTTAAAAAGAATTTTATAAGTCTTTTTTTTTAGAGACCTTTTTGCTGTGGCTGCTCATGTTAGTAGGGTAAAATCACTTTCTGTTTTTGATAGTAAAAGTTAAAAATGCATCTGAGTAGTAGGAGTAGCTTTGTCAGTTGACATTATTGTTGCCTCTTTGAATTGTCTGGTTTACTTCTGTGACAATAGGTGAGGCTTTTCTTACAGTTAAAGCATTAGAAATTTCAAAGCAGTAGGGTTTCCTTTGGATGGTTATTCTGTATTGTGATAGCTATTGTGATATTCAGAAATCTGTTGAGAGATGCCATTTTTCTAACATGAATTGTATTGTACAGTGACTATGTCATTTGAGTACTGTGAAGTCTCTTGCCTAGTAGTCATCTTAGGCAAGTCTGTAAGTCACTTGGGCTTGGTATCCTCTCACTTACTGGCAGGCTCTAAAACTTTTGACTACTTCTGAATCGCTGTTGTATTATCATGCAGTTAAATCTTGTTCTTCATCTGGGCTAAGATGCCCTTCTCTGTCTTCTGTGTGCTAGGTAAATGCTGTGTGCCTCACATGTACATTCAAAACTCTGATGTGAAGCCAGATCGCTCAGTTCTCATTGCTTTGACAGTGTCATCGTCCTTCGAATCCTTCAGCATGACACTCTGATAACTAGTATTCATTTTTAGGGCTCCTCCTGGACTTGTCCCTTTCCGTTTCTCGATTTATCAGTACATGCTTTTAGGAGGCTGGTATGTACTTCCGCTTTGCAAATGGTGCTGTTAAGTGACATGCAGAGAAATTTCACAGGTAACCCCCATTATGCAGAATCTTTATGTAGAAGCATCTCTCCATAAGTATCTACAAGCCCGCTGCCTCATAGATGCCTTCATATGTCACATTAAAATCTGTTTTGTTGTATGGTGTGTTGTTTGTGTTCCTTATTTAGAGAATTTTTACTCCTTTTTTTTCTGTGAGAGCTGTTGGGGTAGAAATGGTCTTTGTTCTTTTATGTGTTGCCTAATATGTGAAATCTTGATTGGAGACTCAAATGTGCTTTTATAATATCGACAATAAAATGTGTTCAAAGCTCTTTCTCTTTTCTGGCTTTTTTAACCTTCTGTTTTTCTCTCACCTTGCCAAATCCTCATGGAAGTTTGTACTCTGACTTTGAAGATAAGCTCTGAATTACTTGAAATGAACAGAATAAATACATTTTACTTGTTATAAAAGAAAAAGGTTTCCCAAAGTTTCTTGCAAGGAGTTTTCATCATCAACACAACTCATTTTCTTCAAGCTATTGTGTGCGTGTCTAGGGAGAGCTGATCGCTCTACTTTAACATACTTCACACTGTTGTACTGATAGGTAGCTCACCATTACTACTAACCAGAATATTCTTTTGAAGAGAATGGATTGAGTTTTGCTGTAATATGAATCTCGGCAGACCTGATTTACCTTTTCTTCATTCATATAGACTTGAGTACCACAAAGGAGGATGAGAGTTTTGGAGAAGACTTCAAAAAGATCTTTTTAGCCCTGGAGCTTTTGTGGTACTTTTAATAAATCTATGGTTTGCTATGCTGGTCTTGACCAAAATTTCTCATCTTTCTACTTTCCATTTGACAGAAGTTGTCAGCTTCAATCACGCCAAGTTGTCATCTTCCAAGGTGTGGTTTAAAAAGTGGGAGAATATTCCATTTATGTAGTACATTTCATCCTGAAAATACTGAGTTACAAATCTGTGTTTTACACTGAGATGGGTAGAAAGGACAGAAATCTGGAAAAATAAGATGATACAGTCTTGGCCTCTCTCATTTGTCACCTTGTTTTGACGGTGGAACTGTTGTTGTGCATAATTCCACAGCTTCATTTTGACATGTGTTGTGGTGCAAGTCTGCCTTTGAGAACTTTTTTTTGTGTGTCCGGGTTTGAGGTAGAACAGGGCCAATTTTGTTCGGTAACTTTGCTTCTTAGCTGGGCCCCGTCTAAACACTGAAATGGGCAGAATATTGTGCAGACACTGCTCCCTCTCAGAGTGATAAGACCTCTGTTTGTAGTTGATGCCAAGGGATGATACGCAGAGAGGCTCTTGCTTATACCTACTGCTGTACCACCCAAGGGCAGCTGACTGTTATTGGCCCCGTTGGGGGTCGGAAGCGGAAAAGTGTAGTGGGGCTGAACCTGCAGGGAGGAGCGGACAGGTGACCCAAAACTGACGAACAGGATATGCCATCCCATCTGCCTCATGCTCAAGTGTATAAGCTGAGGGATCAAAGGGTCAGCGCTCGTATTTCAATGGCTGATGTCTGAGGAGGACTCTGTTCCTCTGCCTTTGATTCCAACCCTGAATGCAGATCCGGAATCCAGTTCCCGTCTGTCAACGTGAGTCCAGTCTGGGACTTCCGCAGTGCCAGCTGGTGACGTGATCGTCACCCTGGGAGCTTGATACGGTTTTGTATATATTTCATTATTTTCCTTTTATTTTATTATTAATATTTCATTAAAGTAGTTTAGTTGCTTCTAAACTCAAAAGTCTCCTTTTCCCTCCTCTGCCTCCCTCTTTGAAGAGAGGTTGGGGGGAGCATCTGTTGCTCACCCAAAGGCCAATTCGGCCTAAACCATGACAGTGTGCCATCTATCCGTACCTGTGGGTGATACAAAAAAGCACAGACTAACTTTTCAGATTTTCTTCTTCATTCCACAAATGTTTGCCTGACAGTATGTACATAGGTTTGGCTAAAAGCTTGAGGTACCTTCTGTTAACATCTCCTTCACTGATGTGATCAAGCTTCTGCCTCTTTTTTGAGTGAAAAATATCCTGTAACTTTTTATTTTTCTTAAAGAACTTCTATCATCTAGCTGGTAAAAAAAAAAAAAGTCATTTTTAGGCATTTTTAGCATGTGAAATGGAAATCCTTGAACCATATGTTTAGCTGAAGTTAAATTCAGTTAAGTTAAAGACGTTCTCTCTTCATTTGTATGACTGTAAATAGCATGTTTGGTAAGGAAACTGTGAAATCAAACGTCCCCTTGAAAAGCCCCAAAGTCTAATTTGCCTTGTGAAACTCCATTTATTTATTTATTTCAAAAAATACATTGAAATTAAAATAGGAGTGTACTGAAGGGTCAGGTAGGCGTAACATGAGTCTATATAAAATCATCACCTCTCTCAAAAGCAACATAGTCCTTTGATTGTTTCAAACCACTGATCAAGAAGCAATTAGCTAAAAATGGAAGGGGGCACTTCCTCTCTGATGTGTGTAGATCAGCTGCCATTACTGCTAATGAGGGGAGAGAAGCCCAGTGTTTGCTTTGTACGATCAGAGGATGTTGTCTGCTGTATTGTGTTAACTTGGCCAAACTGCAAGGCAATTGGTAGCATTCTTGTGTCTCATGTTGAGCACTGTATGCGCTCGGAGAGGTCTGTAATATTTGTATGTTTGTAAAAGTCTAGACTGAAAATAATTAAGTCATTAAGGGGAAATATCTAAACTTGCCAAAATCTTGGACAGAATAGCATAGCTCTTATTTCTGCTTTCATCTTGGGATTCTTATTTTGTGCTTAGCATTAGCGCTGGAGAACTGAGTCACCGATGACAGAAATTTTTGGCAAATAAAAACAATTTAAAACTTAAAACTGTTTCCTGCTTGGAAACACCCGAAATGGGTAATGCCGGTAACCTCAGTAATAAAAGAACTGTTGAAAACACCAACAGCAATGTGCCCTCTGGTGGACATTCATAACAAATACTGCAGTTCTCAGTAGGATAAAGGAATGCATTAAAAGTGAAAGTAGTGGAGTATGTTAAAGGTTTGTTTTGAGAAGGAATAGTAAGCATGAAGGTAGCAAATAAATGATTAAAAACAAACAATAGTGACTTGTGAAAGGGTGTGCACTTTTCTGTGTATTAAAAAAGCCTTTTGAAATAAGGACTTACCAGCTACTAACAATAAATTGCGTACCTTTTTTTTTGTTGTGTATGCTTTGGTCATAAACACTAAGGCAGAATGTTTTTTTCTTACTCTTTATTTTAGGATCTTAATATAATAAAGTTTGAACTTGGATTTGGATATCATTGCACTAGATCTCCAAGTCATGAGAACCTACTACCCTTTATCTACTGTGAATCAATGTATACTGTATGTTTTAAAACTTTACCCAACATGTTTAGTATTGAAGCTAGCAGCTTATATTTGAATTACAAGTCTTGTAAAAGAATTCTCCACAATTTGGTAATTTATTTCACTGAACTGTACTTACATTTAAAAAAAAAAAAAAAAAGATTTTTCTTCCTAGCTGGAATTTGTCTACTTCCAACTTCTAATTATTAGTTCTTGAAATGCTTTTAATGTCTTATGAAATATTTGTCCTCCTCTAGAGAGCACTTTCTAAAATGTTACTTTCAATTTTCAGGTCACTAATGAAGGAGGAATGAAGAGTGCTTCTTTAAAGGATTTGTGTCCTGAGGACAAGAGACGCATTGCAAACTTAATTAAAGAACTTGCCAGGTAAGAATAAGCATCACCTGAAAATGCATTATGTTTAAGGAGAGTCATTCCTCTAATTAACATCAAGCAATGTAGAATTGCATTATGAAACTGACTATTTGCATAAGGTATTTTTTCTTGCTAGAAGAGGTATGAACAATGAGGCAGCCTGATAGCTTTTCCCTTGCTTCCTGACCCCAAATGCCCTAAACGTATTGAAAACATGAACCAAAGTTTTGTGACCTGTAGTAGTTCATCCATATAAACCTAGTCACAGGGCTAGGGTTTTGTTTGCTGCTTCTATCATGTGCTTTAACTAAACACATGATGTCTTTTGGAAATGACAAACTTTGTTGATGTGAAACTTGTAGTGCTTATTTGTCAGGGGTAGGCTTTTATGTGGAATGCTGTGTTAACTGCGGATTGGTGATCTTCTGGCTGAAACATGTTCATCAGTATTGGTCCGTGTTTCTGCATGTAGAGCAATAAAGAGTCCAGTGTAATTTTAACCTATCTAGCCAAACTTTCTTTTGCTTTGATTCATTTATTCAGGTTCTCTCTATTCTTTGAAAGGAGATGCACAAATAGTGCAAGTTTTTCAGCTTTAACAAAAGGTTTTTTCTAAGTTTCATTCTAGTGCTAGTTGCATTCATGAAGGTAAATGATGTGAAAAATAAGTTGCATTTGAGGGAGGATATTTTTCTACCCCCGTGTCCCTAACACTTCAGAATCTCTGAAATCTGCTTCTTACATAGTCGCTGTAAAATTGAGAAGGAGCTCATGGGACTGACGAGCGTTTGCACATCAGAGGGGAAAGTCTTGTGAGATGATATTGGGTCCTTTGGGCTAAAAGCCAGCATCCATACTAAGAATTTATAAAGCCAAAGTTTTTCTAGAACAAAATGCATGTTCTCAGGTATTAATGAAATGCTTTTTGCCATAGATTTCATATGTCTGTGCAATAATTGGCAAGCATTACTGTCCTTTTTTCTTTTTATGTAGGAAAATTTGGGCAGAGAAATTAAGTTAACTTACTCAAGGTCATGCAGTAAGTCTCTGGTGCAGCTAGGAATATTTTCTCTCTGATTATTCTCATCCAGTGGACCATTTTGCCTGCTAATAATTTGTACCAATATAGGATTTCTTGCTATACAGTATTTTAGTAATTTCTCAGTTTCTTCATGCTTGCAACTCTATTTTATCCTACCTCACGTGTTAGAAAATGCCTAGTTAAGGCTGTCATAAAGAGTAGATTGCTGGGAAGCCTGGTTACAAATTGTCAGATGTTGGAGCTATTCGGACACTGTTGCCACTATTGATATATAGAGGTATATTCTAATATTAAAAAAAGCCTTTTATTACATTGTTCCTCATAATACAGTGCTCCCTAGTGAATAGTAGTACACTAACTCATTTGAGCATGGGATTCTTCTTAAATCTCAGATGCTGTGATTTTTCCCTGAGGACAGTTTGATATTTCTGCCTGACATTTCTTCGAAGAAAAATAGAAGGTGCAGCAACATTAATTTTGGAAAGTAAAATTAGTGGAACACTATTATTTTATACTTAGTTCTCTTTTATTTTTAAACCTAATCATATTTTTATTGGATATAATTAAAAGTCCTTTGCAGCGTAATAGGGAAGTTGAACTTTAATTCTGCTCACCTCGTCACTTTTTTAAAACTCCCCATAATTTTCAGCCCTAGTTGTGCAATGATGATGAGGGTTTATACATGCAGTAGAACATTCTTTGCTGTTACAGAGAAGAAAAAGAACCAGCAGAATGCTGAAAGTTTTCCAGGAAGACTGTCCTGCAGTAAATACTTGGAATAATAAAGTTCTCACTTGACCAGAGTTATACTTCACTGTTCCTTATTTTGCTACTATTTATGAATGAAAATGATAGTAGTTGAGACTAATGCCTGCACGTTTATTGCAGGATGGTGGACAGAAATAGATTGGTCAATAACCGTCTGCATGAAGGCAGTTGTAGAGTGGTAAAATTATGTCTGCTTGGAAACCAGTAGCAAAATATGATTAACTCCTGGGTCTTGAATTTCAACCAAGTCTTGCTTGAGCAGTTCAGGATATTGGTCTTTCCCCTGAGTTCTGTGACTGCTGAAGGAGAGTGAATGTACTTTTCTTTCTCTTCCTATTTTTTCTTCTCTTTCTCCAACTCTCATTCCCAATGCACTTTTGAACATTGGGAAGGTGTGTGCCTGTGCATTAGCTAATGTGCTGCAGTAGCAGAATTGGTCTTAGTGTGAGTGAATTCCAACGCTGGCTATATTATTATTCTTTCCTTTGAAAAAATATCAGTTACTGGGCTGTAATGCTCTGCTGCTGGGGATTCCAGTGGCTGACATCACGTTAGCTATTGGGGACTTTATGAAATTGAGTTTTGAGTCAGGGTTGAAAGAAAGGACTCAGCTGTATCCTTTCTAATCCTCCTTTCTAGGCTAAATAATCTTAGTTTTCGCTCTGTGCTGCCACCTGCAAAGCTAACCATTATTTAGCCTTTCTTTGAACATATCCAGTTTATCTTCCCTCTTTAGATGAAAAGAGAGACCCAAACTGGATCCAAAGCTTAAAAGACTCAAATGTTGTAAATTGGAAGGGTTTTTTTGTTGTGTCAGCAGATTATTTTCAAATTGTTTTTGTAGAGGAATTTCTGAGTAGAATGAATCATGCCCATGGATGCCGAAGTGCTTTGTGAGTAAATGGAAATTCTTGAGCATGGTCAGCCATTATTTTCAAAAACAGCCAGCATGGCACCTTTATGTTTTTGGCAGGGTGCTGCTGGCGTGGTGGTGAGAGTGCCAGGCACAGTAAGAGCAAATTTTAGCTCTCCCTACAAGCAGAGCCCTTGTAAGAGGCACAAAACACTTTCTCTGAGCTTTTATTACTGCAGGCTACTCCTGAAGCAGTCATCAGCTTATGTAATGAAATGAGCAGTGACATGGTGAAGACACTGAAAGATTCCTACCCTCGTGCGCTGCGCCAATGTCAGGACACATTAGCCTCTTCCAAGGGGGAGCAGCACAGGGTCCTCTGGGACCTAGCCAGTTGACTGCTGAGCATTAAGGACTTGCTAGGCACCATACCAGGAATGCTTACAAAGTATTCTAGAGGGAAATGTTTTAAGTGATATGCAGATTTTGAGAGCTCTATCTGTCTTGGCATTTGGTGGTATGGAGAGGGTCATAACTTCCTTTGCAGAGAGAGAGAGAGAGTGTGTGTGTGTGCTTGCAAGCATTCACCTCGCTCCAAACTGATAAATAGCCATAGTACTGTGTACATTATAAATACTTCTTCCCTGCCTGCACGGTTCATGTATACCTGTACAGCTCACATATGCAATTTGCTTTTGAATGAACAGAGGCATTGCCTACATGATGTAGAATGGTTCATGAAAACTTAGTATTTTTTTTAGTGGTGAGAATTGGTATCTAACTACTTGCATTTTTTGTTTCTTCAGATAAGATAAGCATGAAGAAAGCTGACTCCCCATAGTCTTTGCAAACAAATCTGTGAAAGCTATTTAGGTAGAAGGATATCATAATGCCCTTATCCACCCAAGGGAGGGAGCGATTGCCCTTTTCAAATGGGATGGAAGATGGTTTTTGCTATGAGATTAGTCTCTTTCTGGCAAAGACTGCTGACATGCCCAGGATGACTTGTACTCAGCCGCTAGTAAAACAGCCTTCAGACAGCCCTTTGTCCCTCATTGAGAAAATGCTTCCTCCTTCCCAAGACCTTAGGTTCCTAAACCATTTGTGGAGTGCTGCCAGTCTGGGATGCTAGTCTTTTCTACTGGCATTGCTCTATGTGGACTTCTTATCCTGATATGAAGATTAAATTGACTGACTGAAATTGAAGTTTTCCAACAAAAGGTGAAAATGGAATCAAAACAGAAGGTTAATTTGGTTACAGAACTAGAAACCATTACAAATGAGGGCAGTAAAACTGTTGTAGCATATTTCTTCTGTTTAAGTATTTTTCTTCCAGCACTTAGGATCTTTGAAGGACAACGTGCCTGTGGAAGACCATATTACAAGTCTGCAGTGTTTGGCCTCTTGGGTTGTCTTCTCTCCTGGATTACGCTACCTCATATTCAACCAAATTGTTACCTGGCTTTAATTTCAGTGTCAAGATCTTTTCTTCTTTTTTTGTGTGTGCTACTTTAGGAGCCATATTGTGCTGCAGTTCTCTTAATTGGTCAGGCAGTGAGACTGTAAATGAGATATCCCTAAGCTTGTCTTGAAATTACTTCTTTTTGATAGGTAAAGCATGCCTAGGATTATTGTATCACCAATCACACTTACCTTTTGTGATTAAAAAGTCATTTGTAGCTATAAATTCATGCTGTGAGATCTAGTTTTGTATTTTGCAAGTTGCGTATCATAAAATTTATCCATTGTGCAGCGATTTCAATTATGTTTTAGTATCATTGGTATTTTTTGTTATTTTGTTTAATTTATACAAACTGCCCATGATACTTGAGTAAAATGTATTATATTTGGGAACAGTGCCCTTAGACGAAAAATGCTACCATTCTCTCTTCCTGCAGTGCTGGTATTAAAAGTCACTTTGTTGCTCAGTTCTGCCAGAGGCATGTTGTGATTAACTCTGGTGTGAAAACTTCTTGTTTCATCTTTTTGGAGTGCATCTTTCACTTGGAATACCTGATTTAATTCCATGCTTTCTGTGTGTGCTGAGCTCTGCATGATGCCCTTATCTTGGTCCTTGCTCCATTTTTTCCTCCTGCTATGGTCTTGCCTGTTCCAGATACTGTTCTTTGCTTGGAATTTCAAACTTGTGGGTTTTGAAAACGATCCCGAAAAGATAAAAGTTCCCAACAAGTATAGTACTGATCAGTGAAGTTTCCAGTGTCTGTGCTGCTGCTTTTTGTTTATTTTTGTCTTCTGTCTTAACTTGCTCAGCCACAGCTCTTAACGCATTCAGATTTCTTGTGGTAAAAGCTCAATTTTTTCTAACATTTTTTAAAAATAGAAAACAGT